TTGTGGAAAGTCATTCCGTCGAAGAGATGAAGTTGAGCAACATTTGAAAATGCATAACAAAAAACAACCGATTCGTTGCGCCAAATGCTGGAAGAAGTTTGCAGAAGAAGATGATAAGAAGGCACACGAAGAACGGTGCAATCGACGTCACTATCAGTGTTATTTGTGTCGAATTTCAATGCAAGAATCATCCCAATTGAAGGGCCATGCGCGTACCCACCACACCGGCGATTCCTTGCTAATCGTCACATGAAACATGTCCATCAATTGAAGAAGGGAAAAACGAACAACGCCTGAAGTGTTTTTGATTCCAATTTAATTCTATTAACTTTCACAATTAGAATAGGATTATTTTCTTTCAATTTTGAATTTCCAAAAACGAAAAAAAAAACTGTATCAATAAAATATCTGAATTCTTCTATTAATAAATCTAAAGCCTAAATTGGAGCTGATTTTTCTTGAGTTTTTCACTGTTGTTTTAGTCTGACACTTCATAAACATTAAAAAAAATCGTTTTCGTGAGACAAATAAAAGGCCAAAAAGTTTGAAAGTGTCAGCAGTCTATGCGGGGTATTCATTTATCGTGATTAATTTTGATTCTAACCAGACGATTGATCACCTTAATAATGTTGTCCAATGTCCATTGTATTATAAATAGGCGGCAAAAACAATGACAACATTCATGACAAAGAAAAGAGAGAGAAAATAGAAAATAATCAATGCATGAACGAAAGAAAACCTTTTTACTCAATGAGTGAGACAAACATATTTATTAAGTCCTTTTTTCTCTTTTGCGACATAAAGTGAATGAATCCAACTTCATTTTTCGCTCCACGGTTTCGCTCCAATATTCAAATGGCGAATTTGCATTTTTGACATCTACCGAGAATTGTTTGGTTAATAGAATTATAGCATCGTCATCATTTATTCTGTGCACAGACACTGGTCGATACAATTAAACACAACAAATATAGCTACAGCATTCAAAATTATTCAATTCAATCGATCCAAAATCAGTATTTTCCCTGACAACGGTGAGCGAAAAGTTAAAATACGAGAAGATTGTTCCCGTTGAAATAATCAACCGATCAAGGTAATTGTTTTTCTGCATTTCTTCAATTGTGCAACAACATCTGCCTTTTACTAAATCCCAACCTCAATTTACAGCACAAACAACAAATCACGATATGTCATCACCAAGTGACGATCCAAGTAACATTCTTGCAATCATCGGTAAAAAACTGTATTTAAGCACTGAACTGGCCGATGTATACTTTGTGTTCAATCCCAAAAATGAGCCGATCGTTAAAGTTCCGGCGCACAAAGTGTTGTTGGCCGCAGCCAGCAATGTATTTGCCACAATGTTCAACGGATCGTGGAAGGAGAAGAATGAAGTACAAATTGTGGACGTGTCAGTCGCTGTTTTCAAAGAATTTTTACAGTTTTTCTACTTGGATCGTGTGCAATTGACCAAGGATAATGTTAGCAAAGTTATGAATCTCGGTAATATGTACGACATGGATACATGTATGACGGTGTGTGATAAATTCATGAAAAGACACCTCAATGAAGACAACGTTTGCAAATACTACGGTTTAAGTATTCTACTCGATCGACCAAGCCTCAGGAACGCATGTGAAGATATAATCGGTGCCGAAACAAAGACAGTATTGAAATCAGCCAGCTTTCAAAAATGCGATAAGAAAACAATGGATTCCATTTTGAAGCTCGATTGGCTCTCGTGCTCTGAAATCGAACTATTCGAAGCGGTTATGTTATGGGTCAGAGCAACCAGCCAAAAGGAAATTTTGACCAAACGAATTGTGCAATCTCAGCTTGGCAAATCTTTTAAAGATTTTCGATTTGGAACGATGACAATTGACGAATTTGCCACTCTCATTCCGTCGTATGGAAAAACGTTTTCATTTGACGAACAACAGGACATTATTCAAATGATTCCGGACAAAAATTTCCAATCAAAGATGTTTAATGGAAAGCGTGAAAAACGTTGCAAAGTGACCCCTTGGAAAGACAAGGTGATTGTCAACTGTTCTCGACTTCTTTCACGCCATAAATCGAATAAGCCATATTTCATCAAAAACTTGGAAACAACCACATTCTCTGTCAATAAACCGGCTTTTCTAAAAGGATTCCGATGCGGCAGCCTATACGAACGTCGTAAATCCAAATATCTTCATTTGAAAGAGGAGCTATTGGTGAAGATAACTATAGTAAAAATTCCAAATGCAACGGAACCATCAAGCGACGAAGCGATTGTTTTTTACAATGGAAACACCAGTCTAGGATCAACTGTACTGAATTGGTCATTACCCTATCCAATCCTTGTCAAACCATCAGTCATGTACGAGATTCGCTTAGAGATAAATCCACCCAACAATTGTGTATCTGCCAATTTGTTGAAGTCTGAAGTTAAAATGGATTCATATTTCAAAGTACAATTTCATCGTGATCCAATCTTGGAAAATGATCCAGAAGTGAGCAGAGGTCTGATTTGGAAGCTGGAATTCTACCAAATTTGATCAAAATTAAAAAGCATAAAATCATGAATCCGAAACGAACACGAATCTTTTCCGAAATCCTTTATTCTGTTCTATTTGATTTGAAGTTCAATAAATATTTCACTCAAAAATACATCCATGAAGTTTCAAATTATTTTCCAAACCACAGACTTTTATTGGTTGCATTGAAAATATTTGTATCTGTTACATAAATAAATATACATTTTTCTGCTTTTAAATTTCGCGGCGAAATCCGAGTATCACTTGCGTTGTATATTGACAATGTATTTGAACGCGACTCGATTTAAGAAGCGCCATCTCTTTCACGCCAGGTTCTCATATATTTTTTTCTTGCAAATAAAATTGCAAAATTGTATAAATTGAATAAGTTTTGCAATAATAATAACGAAAATAATTAATAGAATTTATAATAAATAAAAAAAATTGAAAAAAACACACAAATATTTTATATTATATGATATGTAGCTTTGCCTTGTAGACCATGTAGAGATGGTTACGTGGAGAAAATATGTATTTGTCAAACATTCATACCTGTCAAAAGAAACAACGTAAACAACACGAAGTGAAGCTATTCTGGTGAATCATATAATATAAAATATTTGTGTGTTTTTTCAATTCTTTTCATTTATTATAAATTCTATTAATTATTTTCGTTATTATTATTGCAAAACTTATTCAATTTATACAATTTTGCAAGAAAAAAATATTTGCAAGAAAAAAATATATGAGAACCTGGCGTGAAAGAGATGGCGCTTCTTAAATCGAGTCGCGTTGAAAGCCGACTGTAAGTGATACTCGGCGAAATCCATCAAATTGCAACGAATCATAACCACAAAATACGATCTGTCATTGTCGAGATGTCATACCGTGATTAACACATGTTGAAATAATTCCACAAAATAAACTAAAATTCGTCAGATTTGCGTGTTTATCGAATCAAACAACAAGAGATCTTCTAAAAATTAATCACATTCTTTGGATCATTGTCATTCAAAATGTAAGTAACTAACACTGTAGCACCGCTGAACAATATTCGGAAACTAACACATTTTGTTCCTTAAATGTCTCGTACAACAGATTGAAAATCATGTCGTATTCCAATTTGGCACAAGGCGCAATCTCCACTAAATTGCTGTCACGAATAGGAAAAAAATTGTATCTGAACAGTGAATTGGCCGATGTTAACTTTGTGTTCGAGTCCAACGACAAACCGGCCGAACATATTCCGGCACACAAAACATTTTTGGCCGCTGCCAGCGATGTCTTTGCCACCATGTTCAATGGAGCGTGGATAGAGAGAAGAGAGGTGAAGATCGTGGATACATCAGTCGCCGTTTTCAAGGAATTCTTGCAATTCTTGTACTTCGACCACGTCACGGTGACCACCGAAAATGTGGCCAAGGTCATGAAATTGGGCCATATGTACGACGTCGCCGAATGTTTGAATGTTTGTGAGAAGTTATTGAAACGGAATCTGAATGAAAACAACACGGTAGAGTGTTACGAACTGGCGATGCTTCTGGAGCAAACAACTCTGTTGAAATCATGCGAAAAGATGATCGGCTATAACACGAAAGCGGTATTCAAATCAACTGACTTCATGGCATGTGATGCGAAAACCATGTCGCAAATTATGAAGCTGAATTGGTTGACGTGCTCTGAAATTGAGCTCTTCGAAGCCTGTATGGCATAGATAAAAGCTAAAAGTGGAGAGGACATCGTGACAAAGCAAATGGTTAAAGGTCAACTCGGCGATTCATTTTATGACTTTCGCTTTGGTTTGATGACACTCAACGAATTTGCATCGGTCATTCCTTTATACGGGGCCATATTTTCGAATGAAGAATCTCAAGACATTATTCAAATGATTGCAGACACGAATTTCAAGTCGAAGATGTTCAACGGAATACGTGAAATTCGATCTGAAACCCGTATATGGAATGTGAAAGATAAAATTGACTGCAGTCGTCTCATTTCACGTCCGAACCAACCTTATTACATCAGTAATTTGGAATCAACGACGTTCTCGTCGAGTGATCCACTTTTCTTGGAAAGTTTCTTTTTTGATAACGTTTACGAATATAAAGATGGAAAATTTCTTCGATTAACAAATGGCATACCAACTGAAGCTACAATCTCCGAAGCACAGAGCTCAACAGTCCGCGGTGGAGAAGTTGTTCTGTATCAGACCAAAGCTACATTTGGGAATAATTTTCTGGATCGCGTATTGGTGCCAAACCCAATTCTGATTCGACCTGGTTTCCAATACAAAATTCAGCTGAAACCAAATCCACCGAAGAATTGCTGCACAAAAGATTTACTCAATTCCAATGTTGATATGAAATCGGACATTACCATACAGTTTAACGATTTAGTCCCGACTAAAAGTCTCATTTGGTTTCTTAGTTTTTATAAAATTTGAATGAAAAAGTTAGAATTCACTGGTTATGATCAATAAAAGAATTGTTTCTTTAATTTTAATATTTAAGAACATTTCTGCTTGAAATCTGGAGTAAATGAAAGAAATACATTGAAGTCTTCTGTATTTTAGATGTTTGAACAAAATACATGACCTCAATCCTTACCCAATGAGCCATTTTCACTAATCTGCATGCCTACATCTGATGCATATCGTATGCATCGAATGTATGCATGTATATGAACAGATGCATATTCTATGCATCGCAAATCGCCATTAAAAAGAGATAGTGTGATCAGTATGCATACTACTGTATGCATAATATATGCATAATATTAGTACAATTGGACCATTACATTGGATGCGTATTAGGTGCATAAAATTGCATTACAACGGCGCATTGGGTAATTATTAAGAGTTTTTTCATTATTCATCCTAAATTAAAAAATAAATAACTCAAATCTTCAACCGTCTTAATAATAAATATGATTTTTGTTTTTTGTCTAATTTTTTATAAATAAACCCAACAAGAATCAATCGACTAAATTTCTTATTCTAAAATGTCGAAAAAAAAAATGGAATAAATTAAATGATTTTTCATCATTTGTTACGAATTTAATTGATCAAATCATTCTCTTGTTTTCACAAATCAACGACTTTTTTGATTTAAAAATTGATTATAGAGTTCATGTACAATTGACAACAACTAACTTCATACCGAAGCCCGTCATCACCAATACAAGTTGTACTTTTCCCTCCTTTTTCACGCAGTGTAAGAAATCGCGTTGTACAGTAATAGAAGACGTTCGCTTATAGACAGTCGCTATTTGAAGAATAACCACGTTCTATCTGAAATATACGTAAATTTGCACTAATTTTGAGCAGAAGCAAATTAAAAGGTAAGTTTTCAACAAAATAGCATAGACTTAAATGGAGAAAGCACCCCAATCAGACTTCATACAATTTGTCTTCCATTATTGAGTGTATATGAGGAGGAGACTAATGAAATTTCTGTTTATGTCTGGTCCTTATGGTGTTGTTTGATACAGGGAGACAATGAATCCATTTCGATGCAAGGGCATTAGCGGCGGAAAGGTTGGCCACAAGTGCAAATGCAAGCCAAAGTGTTCACAAATCACGGTGAAGGAAGAAGTCATCGTCAAAGAAGAGCCGAATGATATGATTCAGTACTCGCTGCCGCCATCGCCAATTGAAACGGGTGCAAACATCAAATCGGAGAGCGAAAGTGATGACGACTGTTTGCACAACGATATCAAGGATGAAATCAAATGTGAAGAAAAATGTGCAAAGAAGGAATTTGACACAGCACACGATGATGCCGAAGGTGGAATCGCATATAATGGTCCAGTTGACGCTAATGCTGACAATCCAGCCTGCAATGATATGCCGAGCACATCAAATAGAAATGGAAAGAAACCAAAAGGTGGAAAAAAAGTGCGCAAGTGCAAAACATCAAAGAAATCAAAGGTCGCATCAAAGTTAAAGAAGCACAAGTGTAATGTATGCAACTTTTTGGCATCGCATAAGTCCATACTCACACGGCACATGCGAGTACACACCGGCGAGAGGCCATTTGCTTGTGAAATATGTGCAAAAGCTTTTAATCACAAGTCTAATCTGAACCGTCATACAAAAGTCCATGCAGCCAAATTACCATTCTGTTGTTCGAAGTGCCGAATTGGCTTTACAGAAGAAATCGACAAGATTAACCACGAAAATAAATGCAAACGGACCCAATACCAATGCCATTTATGTAAAAGCACAACTCAGGTTTTGTCACATCTGAGAGAACACATGCGAATCCATAATGGTGTTAAGCCATTCAAATGCCATGTTTGCGCCAAAACATTTACTCAGAAACATCATCTTAATATGCATTCACGATCCCATGTTGAACAACTGCCATTCGACTGCCGGAAATGTGGGCAGAGATTTGGTGAAGAAAACCAGGAGAAATCGCATGAAGATCGTTGCACTGGCCGGCGATACGACTGCTATCTATGCCCGTTCAAATGCT